ACACACACACACACACACACACACACACACACACACACACACACACAGACACTTCAGGTGCTAAGATGAGAAAACTGGTTTTTCTTCTTACTATCAATGACAATGATAATAGCATTATCTCCAAGTGGAGATGTTTTCAGAATATGTTTTACCTCATTCTGAGTCACCACACACTTTAATATTTGTTTTTGTTGTTTTTTTAATAACTTGACCTAGGACAGTTGCATAATGTGTATTGTTAGAAATTCAGAATTTTGACTTGGCTTTCGTTTTTTTCTGAAATAATGAAATTTACTTTAAAAATACAGGCAATGTTAAGTTTTTTCTTGAGGTTTAAGTAATGTACTCGCATTCTTATAGTAAAGACTGATTTTTTCTGCTGTAGTATTTTATGGAGTGATATCTTATACAAATGCAAAACACTACCTTCACTATGCAAATAAATCAGTCTTTTTTTTTTTAAACACACATCACCTATGAATACATATGTACTTTGCTTGATGGAATAGATTCATTACTACAAGTTTACTTTAAAGTGAATTTCAGTAAAAAATCAAATCATACTGTCTCATGAACTTTATAAATAAAATTACAGGTGGTTTTCTGTGGAACAGGGGGAGGGTATAAGTGACCCCAGATACAAAAGTCACACTTTATAGGATAGTAAACATTTTACAATTTCACATTTAAAGGAGAAAATGATAGTTTTCTCATAAATCTGATGATATATGAAGCACCTATAATTTCATTAATTTTGGAACTCGAATAGTATACAGAGAGTATGGGCCTCAGATTGAGGAAGATCTGAGTTCAAATCCTGCCTTTGACACATTACCCATGTGACTGTGGGCAAGTAAGTCACAACCTCTGCATGCTTCAGTTTTCTTGTATGTAAAATGAAGGTAATATAATAGCACCTACCTCCCAGGGTTGGGGTGAGAATCAAATGAGACAATATTTGTAAATCACTTAGCACAGTGGCACGTTGTAGATGCTTAATAAATCCCACTCTCCCTCCTTCCTTCCTTCTTTGTTCTTTCCCCACTTCACCCCATGGAGATCCCCCAGTTGTATCTAAGCCAGAGAATTGCCTGAGGCCCTAAGATGTGATATGATTTTCTGTTGGTCACAGCTAGTATCAGAAGTGGGACGTGAACCCAGGGCTTCCAGACTCCAAGTTCAATCCTCCCTCCCAGTGGTTCTCAAAGTGTGGTCTGAGACCTTTTCAGGGGCTCTACAAGGTCAAAACTATTTTCATAATAATGCAGAGATGTTTTGCTAATATGGTAAATATTGACAGATATAACCCATAGAAATGAAAGCTCTTTGTGGGGGCTCAGTAATTTTTCAGAGTGTAAAGGGGTCCCGAGAGCCATTGATCTCTATCATTGTGCGATGCTGCCTCTTAAATCTTACAATGTTAATAATTCTATCATTTAAGCATCTGTGATTTTGTCTGGATGGGAACTCTCCACTTGTGTACATTTCAGTACCTTTATGTCTTCACAAATGCTGCAGCTGAGCTTCTTAAGTCATAGTCATGAGCTTCTTAGGGTGATCTTAATCAGTTCTTGGCAGCTAGGTGGCACAGTGGATAGAGTGGATAGAGTGCCAAGCCTGGAATCAGAAAGACCTGAATTCAAATCTGACCTCAGACACATAACACTTACTAGCTGTGTGACGCTGGCCAAGTCACTTAACTCTGTTTGCTTCAGTTTCTTCATCTGTAACATGAGCTGGAGAAGGAAATAGCAAACCACTCCGGTATCTTTGCCAAAGAAAACCCCAAATGGGGTCATGGAGAGTTGTACATGACTGAAATAACTACAACAATCAGGTCTTAATGTTGAACTGGTCACAAAATACATTTATCTAGGGGCAACTAGGTGGCACAGTGGATAAAGCACCGGCGCTGGAGTCAGGAGGACCTGAGTTCAAATGTGGCCTCAGACACATAACACTTACTAGCTGTGTGACTCTGGTCAAGTTTGCCCAATTACCTCACCAAATAAATAAATAAATACAATTATTTTAAAAATGACTGGGAATCTGGCTCTTTATGTTTCTTTTATTACCAAATCAATGCCTAAACATTTTAAAATTTAAAATTTAAAAATCATTTAGTTATTACTAATAATCAATTATTAGGAATCAGTCAATAAGCATTTATTAAGTGCCTGCTATGTGCCAGGCATTGTACTAAGTGCTGGATAGGAATTATGTTTAGTCTCCTCTTTCCTTCTCTATTGTCTGTTTTCCCTGCCTTCCTTGGCCCCCCCACCCCGTCTGTGAATTTAGCCAAAACCAGGTGGATTTGACGTTTTTATAATTCCCCTTTTATAGATTGACTTTCTTCTTCCGCCTTGTATTTCCTCAGTCTGCTAACCCAAAGGAAGACATTGACCTGTCCTGATTCTCAGCATCAGTCATTTTAGACTATGGGAAAAGCACCAACTTCTTTTTGTTCTCTAATTCTTCCTTTTTTTGCCATCCGGATGCTAGTGGACTAATTATCACCATCAGCCACAGCAGCAGAAGCAGCATTTATTTAGTGCCTTAAGGTTTGTAAAACGCTTCACAGATATCTCATTTTATCCTTACGATAACCCTGGGAGGTAGCGGTTAGTTATTATTCCCACTTAAAGATGGGGAAACTGAGGCAAAGAGAGGTTAAGTGACTTGCCGAGGGTCACACAGCTAGTAAGTATCTGAGATGAAATTTGAACTCAGGTTTTCCAGACTTTAAATCCAGTGTTTAATCCATTTCACCATCTAGTTGTGTGGGATATATTCAGTCTGGTTTCCTTGCCAGTTAAGTTACTTAGGGAATAACATATCCATTAAGAAAGAGCCTTGGTTTGTGAGTGAGAAGATGCTAGCCTCAGTTATTGCACCCAAGGCCTAGTACAGCATTATAACCACTGTTGGAACTTAATACGTTTTGATTGACTGGATAGGAAGCAACTGTTTTGCCCGCCATTTGACCATCTTTCCCTTACTGCTCCACTGAGATTCTAAAAACACAAGATAACACAGGTTTAGTATCTGAGAAGTCCAGAAACACATCAGTAATGAATTGTTCTTTAAGCTCTATCTGAGAAAAGCTCCGCATTCAGATGTCGTGGACACTACAGACATGCCGGTTTTCATACCAGTGTTCAGTTTGAACATCTTAAAAAGATTTTCCGCTTTTTGAGATGAGTCTGGACCTGTGATTTCCTCGGTGTGGGAAACACTAGGTGTGGAAACGCCATCCACCAGGGCATATCAACCTTACTCTTTTGTTAGTTTATTGTGTTAGATGTGCTGACAGGTTACATGATTTCTCCTTGGTCACACAGCTAACATATTTAACATTAACGTTTCACATTGGGACAACAGTGCTGGATTTGGATTCAGAAAGACCTGAATTTGAATCTTAACTTATGACACTGGATAAATGTAAAACCCTGGGGGAAATCAGGTGGCCTTTCTCAACCTCAGTATCCTTATTTGTATAATGGGGATAATAATAACACCCAACTCCCAGAGTTATTGTGAGAATGGAATGGATGATATATGTAAAATGCTTTGCCAACCTGCAGTGCTGTGTAAATATTACACTTTATTATTATGTGTCAGAATGAGACCCTTGTCTCCAATGACCCTCCTCCTGCTTTGCTCATATTTTCTTACAAGATCCTATTTTAGAAATGTTAGGTCCCCCTTTTCCTCTGGGTGAAGTATAGTAGTTCTTTGTCTCTCGTATTGGGGCTGATGCATTGTGGCAAAAATGAGCTTACACTTATATAGTACTTTAAAATTTATAAAGCCTCCACACATATAAGTAGAACCGAAATTTAGAAAAAAGCTAGGGAGGGTTGTGAAGCAACCTTCCAGCCACCTGACTTGGTGGCTGGAATGGAGAGATCGCTGGAATTGGAACTCAGGAAGACCTGAGTTTGACTCTTGCTTCAGAAAGGACTTGCTGTGTACTCCTGTGTCAGTCACTTAGTTTATCTTAAGCTCAGTTCCTGCATCTGTAAAATGGGGATAATATTAGACCTACTTCACAGAACTGGTTTGAGGATAAAATAATAATATACATTAAGTTATTTGCAAACTTTTGTTTGTTATTCCATTTAATTTTCTCAATAACCACATGAGGTAGAGAGGGTAGGCATCATCCAAATTTTAAAGTGAGGAAATAAGGACCCTTTCATTGAATCAAAGTCATTCTTCAGTCCTGTCCAACTTTTTATAACCCCACTTGGAGTTTTCTTGGCAAAAGATATTAGAGTGGTTTACCATTTCCTTCTACAGCTCATTTTATAGATGAGGAAACTGAGGCAAACAGAGTTAAGTGACTTGCTCAGGGTCACACAACTATTAAGTGTCTGAGACCAGATTTGAAGTCAGTGACTCCAGACTGGGCACTCTATCCACTGTGCCACCTAGCTGCCCAACCCTCCTAATAGCTAAACGGCAAAAGTAATTTAAAATCCTGAGTTCTCATCTTTGCTTACCTGCCTCTCTCTCTCTGCACATCTGTCTCTTTTTGCCTGTCTTTCTCTGTCTCTGTCTCTCTCTGTTTCTGTCTTTCTGTCTCTGTCTCTGACTTTCCCTGTCTCTATCTGTTTGCCTGTCTCTCTATTTCCTATTCCTGCCCTAGAGGGTTCTCTACCCTGGAATTGAACAGTCATTCTTTGGGAAATTGCCAAGTAGTAAGCAAATGTGATGGAGTTAGTAATTTCCCTTTCCAGAGTAACTTAGTAGCCCTCCTCATGAGGTCGTACATTCATGGAGACACCTTTGTTGGCCCACAGTGCCATTTTACATCTTGAATTAGGCATGAATCTGCCGCTACCACCTGAGCTTTCTCTGGGGGTAAGCCCATTGCTTTCTTTTTGTTGAAATAAAACAAATGCCAAATGTAATTATGTAAATATTATTAATTTCCCAGACCGAGTAATTTAATGTTCCTTCTGTCTTTGTCTTTTTCTGTCTCCCATGTTTTTGCTCTTCATACAGGCTCTCAATCTATTGTAAAGTTCTTGGTGAGAGGGTGCCAAGGTAAAAGATGATGTAATGCAGGAGCAGCCCTAAAGCATCTTTTGTTGGAATTGTGAAATGGTTACTCCAGTCATTTCTTTATGAATCTAATGTGAGGGGCCGCTTTGTGGAATGAGCTTTTTGTAACAGCGAACCCACAGGAAAGAGAAAGAGACATTCACTTGAAGGACTCTTGCTGCAAATGGGTTTAAATTTCATTTTGCCAGTCGCTACCAGGCTGACCTCATACATCTTGGGTACAATGGAGTGGCTAAGCCTTTGAGTACACAACCATTACATCATCGTTGCCAATTTTAAAAAAGGAGGTAATAAAAGAGGACTTATTGTTGACATGGCTGATGAGATGACTGGGGCTCAAATTGCTACTGAGAGGTTGGTGGCTCTGCTCGAAAGTGGAACAGAGAAAGTACTCCTAATTGATAGCCGGCCCTTTGTGGAATACAATACATCCCACATTTTGGAAGCCATTAATATCAACTGCTCCAAGCTTATGAAGCGAAGACTGCAACAGGACAAAGTGTTCATTACAGAGCTGATCCAGCACTCTGCAAAACATAAGGTAACTTCTCTCTCTTTTTCTTGTAAATGAATACATTGAATGAGGAATAATTTGAACTAAAACATTTCTCCTTCCAGCTGGAGGAAGTAAATTTGTGAAAGCTGAAAATCCTTTTTAACTTTGGTACATCAAGTGCTTACCATTTGTATCGCGTTATTGTTAGAGTCAAGAATATTTCTCAATTAAACACAAGTTTACATTTTTAAAAATAAATTGGTTTTTTTAATTTGTTCCCCACCAATATGCCCTTTGAGGAACTTTTATTCATTTAATTTAAACATCATTCTCTGTATTTTACAAATGAACCCAGAGGTTCATAGGCAAATAAACTTGGAGCTGAAAGACACCCATAGGAGTCATCTAATCCACCCCTACCCTGCAATTTACAAAATAAGGAAACTGAGACCCAGGAAACTTAAATGACTTGCCCAAGGTCACACAAGTAGTAAGTGGCAGGGCTTGGATTCAGACCCAGCATGCTTTCTTCTCTCCTATGTGGCCTCCCTAAACACCATTTTTCAAAGTACTGTGGGGAAAAAAGTGAAATAGTATGCATTTTAGAAGGATAAATAATACCGATTTTATAGAGAAACGTAAAACTTTGCCCCATTCCAGTCTTATGATTAAAAGTTCATTCTTTTTTTTCTCATAAACATTTTTCATTAAATCAAGTTTAAAAAATTTCTTGAAATATTTTACAAAATAATTTCCTGCCAAAAACTGGTTTCTTCTATTGTAGGAAATATTTTTTTAAAAAATATGCTTTAGTAGTTCAGGGTCCGTGGTGTGTCAGTTTTCTGTATGTTTTATTTTCTGACTTTGGTTTCTCTCTATGGTAGTTTTACAAGGAGATTTATAATTGTCAAGGTCAGATGATTTCAAATGGAAATGGCATCATTATTTTTCCCTCTAAATTCGTCTTTATACGTAGAATGAATATTTGTGAGATTCTCTATCTAGTTATTTAGCCACATCACCTTTTTGTTTTAACTACAAACAGAAAATGAGAGACATCAACTACCATGAAAGAGATTAAACTGAGGGGTAGCTAGGTGGCTCAGTGGATAGAGCACCGACCCTGAAGTCACGAGGACCTGAGTTCAAATCCGGCCTCAGACGAAACACTTAACACTTACTAGCTGTGTGACTCTAGGCAAGTCACTTAACCCCAATTGCCTAAAAAAAAAAAAGAGAGAGAGAGAGATTAAACTGAATATGGACTACAGATGCAAACAGTAAGAATAATAATAATAATAATAATTATGGCCAAGACAGGGGTAGGGAACCTGCAGCCTCCAGGCCACATGTGGCCCTCTAAGTCCTCAAGTACGGCTCTTTTGACTCAGTCAAGGGAGGCCGCAGGTTCCCCTCCCTGGGCTGACATTTACATAGGGCCTACTATGTGCCATGCACTGTGCTAAGCGCTTTACAGTTATTTCATTTCATCTTCATAACAACCATGGAAGCTAGGTGCTGTTAGTATACCCATTTTACAGATGAGGAAACTGAAGCAAAGAGAGGGTGACTTGCCCAGGGTTACACAGCTACTGAGTGTCTGAGGCCAGTTTTGAACTCAGGTCTTCCTAACTCTGGAGCTCTATCCATTGCAACACCTACTTGCCTATATAGCTGCATTAGGATAATAATTGCCAGCAATTGAGGTGATCTCTCATTTTGTTCTTCCAAATATCCCACTTATTTGCATTTCAGGTTGACATTGATTGCAATTCAAAGGTGGTGGTGTATGATCAGAGCTCTCAAGATGTCGCCTCTCTAGCTTCAGACTCTTTTCTGACTGTGCTCCTGGGTAAACTGGAGAAGAGCTTCACCTCTGTGCACTTACTTGCAGGTAAGAAGATACCAAGTCTTCCGTGAGGGATGTGCACACCTATAGTAGTTCTGCAAGCTGTGGAAAAGCTCATTTTAGTCATAGATGTTCTGTTAAAAAAAAAAAAGTTATTTAATTGTAATGACTAAGTTTGGACCTGGAGAAAAATTGAGAAAATGTACCTTTCTCCCTTTTTTGCAGAGGTCAGGACTATATATGGGTATGATCCTGTCAGGCATGGTTGATGTATTAATTGTTGATGGTGAGCTGCTTTTTAAAAACCTTTGTTACAAGAGGTGGTTCGATGGGTAGGATATGTGTGTGATATATCCAGAAATCAACGTGATAAAAACAGAAGATATAAATAAAAAGAAGCTATTTTCAAAGCAATTTACTTATGGCTTTGAGGTACACTTTAAATCAATATGATTGCTTTATGTGTACTGAATATTGTCATTCTCCCAAATGGGTTCTTTTTGGCTCATCAGCTGTGTATTGGAACACATGATCAATGCAGCCACTGCTCCAAGCAGTGTTCCTATACTCATGAATTTACTTCTTCTACCTTATGTCCTGGGACTCCCCCCCAGCTGCTCCATATTATAATACCTCACTGATGGTTTCCCACTCTGTACAGGACCAAGAACAGACTAAGAATCAGAAAATGTTTTATATATTTGTAGTTGAGAATAGATCCAAGGTCACTTTAACACTTGTAGAAGGGAATGGATCCAGAAGGAGTGTGTGTCTGTATGTCTGTGTGTGTTGTATGTCTGTGTATCTGTTTCCCCTATATAATGTTGGAGACTGATTTTCACTTTATTGTATGGGCTGGTGTGTGTGTGTGTGTGTGTGTGTGTGTGTGTGTGTGTGTGTGTGTGTTTCCCCTATATAATTTTAGGAAATGACTTTGTCACTTTATTTTACAGGCTGATTCTTATTAAGCTTGGCCATTTACTATGGTGTGACCTTGGATAAGTCACTTAAGTTCTCTGAGACCCAATTTCCTCATCTATAATGGACTGGACTGGACTGGGTTTAGGCTAGATAAACTTTCAGGTCCTTTCCCACTCTCAGTCTGTGAGCCTGTGAACCACTAACTACTCTCCATATTTCATGGAAGGGACTTCTTTGGGAAGGAGGACTTATTTAAGACTCTCCTTTTACCTACCTCCAAAACAAATTTCTACACCTTTATGTAGGAGAGCTATCACCTTCACAGACATCATAACCACAGCTGTTTTACTGATACTCACGTAGAGAATTGTAAGATACCCAGAGACCAACAACCCAGAGTTTTGATGACAGGCCTGATGTATTAAGCTCATTCCTTGTTGCACATGTGATCACACAGTTGATTCATCTGGAATTTTGATTCTTTGGAGACTGAGGCTCCTAGGTGATATGGTAGATAGAGGGCTGGAGGTGGAGCCCAAAAGACCTGAGTTTGAATCTTATCTCAACAACTTACTAGCTATGTGAATGTGGGCAGTCACGTAACCTCTCTCTGTCTCAGTTTAATCATCTGGAAAATAGTACCTACCTCACAGGCTTATTGTGAGGATCAAATGAGGTGATATAGATAGATATACATATATGTATGTGTGTGTGTGTGTATATGTGTGTGTGTGTGTATGTATATATATCACTTATATACCACTATTATATATCACTTTACTATTATATATCACTCTGCAAAGTGGCATATAAATGTTAACCATTATAGTTTTTGAAGTATTTCATAATTCACGACCGTTTAGAACCAGGACACCAACCAGAAGAATGTTGGTGTTTCAGAGATATTTTTCTTGTTTCTGGAAGCAGCTTGGGATGGTTATAAAGAAGAACTGCACCAGGTGCAAGCTACACATTTTCTTATTATTCACATTAATTAACTTACAAAGTGCTTTGCAAACTTTAACTTGCTATACTATTCTGAGGCCAGCATATTGCCTGGCCATCTGTAGAAATTGTCCAAGTTGGTTGGTCTATTCAGATTTATATAAATATAAATACAAATATTTATATAAATACAAATACAAATACAAATATTTATATAGTCTAGACAATCTCCAAAATCAGTACTGTGGACTCCAGTGGGTGTGTTTTGGACCCTGAGGGCACTTATAATCCAACTCCTAACCAGGCTGTCATAGCAGCAGCTATTCCAGGCCACTGGGAAAATCTTCCCTGCCCAGAACCTACTCATTCCCTGTCCTCCAGATTACCTTGTGGCTGCAGCAGTGATTAGGCTGTATCCTGTGAAGCACTGACTAATGAGTAAGAGTCCTGTTGTTTTTCATTGTGGTTCAGTCAAGTTTATTTTTCAGTTGCGTCCCACTCTCTGTGACCCTACTTGGGGTTTTCTTATCAGTATCAGTAAAGATACTGAAGTGGTTTACCATATGCTTCTCCAGCTCATTTTATAGATGAGTAAACTGAGGCAAACAGGGCTAAGTGACTTGCTCAGGGTCACACAGCTAATAAGTGTCTGAGGCTAGGTTTGAACTCAGGAAGATGAGTCTTCCTGACTCTAAGCCCGGTGCTCTGTGCACTATGGCGCCACCTAGCTACCCATTTTTAGAATATACATGTTTCCTATTTTGGATCTTGTTTGTTGTTACCAAAGGCAATGGAGAAACATATGGGGGGTATAAACAGGCTTTAGTGTGTTTTTAGTGACAACTTGCAAACAAAAATGACATAAAAAATACCATCCAAGACATATATGATTAGAAATGATGGTGGGTCAGTTGTGGAGAGATAGAGCAGGATTAACAGATGAAGAATAGCCTGAGACCTGCCTTGGTACCCACAGAAGGATAAGAAAGATAAAGGATAAAAGAAAGGCTGGATTGGGTAGGTCCTCAGTGGAGGATGTGTGGGAGGACATAGGTAAGAGGAGCTTGAAATAGAAAGAGGGATGGATTATGATCAACATTTTTTGGGAGGAAGGAGGTTGCTCACATTGGTGCTAATAATACGTAGCATTTGTTTAGGGCTTAAGCCTTGCAAAATGGTTTTCATTTGTTAATCTTACTTGATCCTTGACAACCCTGTGAGACCTTGTGGTTATTATCCCTGTTTTACAGATGAGGAAACTGAGGCTGAAAGAGACTAAGTTACATACATCCAGGGTTACATAACTAGTAAGTATTTGAGGGAGGATTTGAACTCAGATCTTTCTGATTCCAAGTCCAGCATTCTATCCACTGTACCACCTAACTGCCTCATCCATGAAAGTGTTGTAGTATGTATTTGATTTAATACAATTGTTGGAAGAATCTTAGTTTTAAACCTTTTATTTTGCTTCTTTAGAGGCATCAGTGGCAAATTGGATAAAGAGCTAGCCTTGGAGGCAGAAAGACCTGGGTTCACGTTGCATGTCTGACACAATATTGACTGTGTGACCCTGGGCACATCTCTTCACCTGTGATTACTCTAGGCCACTTTTTTTCTTTTTTTTTTAAAATTAATTTATTTTGAATTATCAACAATCACTTCCATAAGCTTTTGAGTTTTAAATTTTTTCCCCCTTACTCCCCACCACCCTCCCCAGGACAGTGCACAATTTGATGTAGGCTATACATATACATTCCTATTAAACATATTTTCACATTAGTGATGTTGTAAGTAAGAATTAGAACCAATAGGAGGAACCACCAGAAAGAGGAAAGAAAACACAACAGAGGAAAAAAAAATAGCAAATAGTATGCTTCAATCTGCATTCAAACTCCATAGTTCTTTCTTTCTAGACCACTTTCTAAAACACAGAAAAGTCACAGAAAAGGTACTAACTTGGTTTAGTGGTGGCAGTTTTCTTACATGGGATCACCCTGTATTAGTGAAATCACAGGTTTAATCCCATTCCCTATCCTGTTAGAAAGTGAGAATTTAAAGCCAGTGCTGTTATTTGATTGCTAAATATTTGAGTCTTCAGTTTTCAAAGGAGGAGGATTAATCATAAACATTTGTGTAAAAACTGTTAAATTGATAGCAAGTAGGCTTGAATAACTTCTCTGTTCTCAAGTTCTCTGAAAAACAACTTTTTTATTTTATCATATTCAGTGAGAGTTCTCTGTCCCTTCCGTATTGGCACAGAGAGAAAAGTTTTGTTTCATTTTGTTTTCTCCTTGGGACTTTGCTCATGCCTGTTGCTTATGCTATGATCTCATCTTGTTTCTGTATCAGCTGAGAAATGATTACAGTATCCAGATCCTTTTTCCACTGATGGTGAGGCATTAGACCACTCGGGTGCAGAGGACCACTGTATTGCCAGAAGAACTTTCTAACATAATAAGGGATTAGTCATTGAAGATTGAGGGGCGTTTTTTGGTGGACGTGGTTAAAACTAGCTAACATTCAATATTATGCTGCATATGGTGGTTTTCTGTTTCACGTGCGAAACCTTCTGTGGCATCTCCTGGTACCCAATTTGTAGGAATCATTACTTGAAGTGAGCAGACTCAGACATTATCCTAAATGTACTCTGGTTTTTATCTGAAATCTTTTTACACGTATCTGTGACTGATTTAACAGCTAATTAAGCTACCTCTTCGTAGAGAAAACACTTTCAGAGGTTCCCTGAGTCCTGAACACACTGAGTCGATTTGAACACAAATTTATTTATTTACAATATCTCCATCTTAGCATCTGTTAATAACTAGCATCCCTGTCCTCTTTGGGAGCAGTTGCAACATCCATAAACAGACAGAAACTTGGAGCGTCTTTAGCTGGCCGTGCCTCTGACCGGTCAAAGACAACCCCTTTTTTCCTTCAACAGACAGAAACTTGGAGTGTCTTTAGCTGGCCGTGCCTCTGACCAGTCAAAGACAACCCCTTTTTTCCTTCAACTGGGTGTAGAATTGGGAAGATTCATCTTCATGAGTTCAAATCTCATTTCAGACACTTACTAGCTGTGTGACTGTGGGCGAGTCACTTAACCCTGTTTGCCTCAGTTTCCTCATCTGTAAAATGAGCTGGAGAAGGAAATGGCAAACCACTCCAGTATCTTTGCCAAG